GAATCACTTGCCACAAGTTACGTAACCCGTTTGTGTCCGAACACCATCCGCTATGGAGAGAAACTTACTCCCTGCCTATTGCTTTGAGATTTTTAATTGACCTTAACTGTTTGACCCCGCTTTACCAATTCGTTATTTTCTTACATAAATTTGATTATTTCAGCTTGAGAAGGAACTTACCAGAACCATAACCTCACCTAGGAAAGGAATTCTGGGAATAGTTTCGTTAGAACAGTTTTACAGAGAATATGACTGTTGAACCACAACGTGGGAAACAAGGGCATTTTCGGTAATTCTGGGGCTATAACCAGCGAAACATTTGCAGCTAACTTAGAGGAGTTGGCCACAATCCCTGATTCCAAATCAACCAAGAAAATGCGTACGAACCACACCTTCCTGGTCAAAAGCACTCGACTAGACAATTTCAATGCCAAGTATGGCACTAACACAGAGACTGGAACGGCGAGAAACGACATAACAAAGGAAAACGTTCTCATCACATTACCCTTTAAAGGTGATCAGGATGAAAAACTAACAAAACATCGACTGAAACAAGCTCTTTCGAAAACATACAACGCCTCTTCGCTAATTATTTTCTATAAAAGCAGACGAATGATTACCAAATCCAACTTGGATAGGCTGAACTCCAAAGTTACCTCTTCGTGTATTTACCTATTTCAATGCACTTGCGTTAGCGACTGTATTGAAAGAACTGAGAGACGCTTGGCCACTCGGATCGCACAACATGTCCCGAGAAAGTTGGTGCTCAATGGTTTGAAGATTCCCTCCAGCTCTATTTGCCCGCCAAATATTGGATTGCAAATTTTGCATCTATCCAAGCATTTCGAGTGTTAAACCAACAGAAAACTGGGCGGTTATTACGGTTTGCTGAGACCATGGCCTTTCGGCATCACAAAGCAAACCTCTGTAAACAATGAGACTTTGTGGCCAGCCCTACCCTACCATGGTAGGGCTGTCACCGTGGTTCCGATCGATAAATATGTTCTCCCACCCTTTCCCTCTGATCAACCCGAACATGGCTGGTTACCTTTGACCTCCACATTGATTTTAACTGCTAGATGTTGAAAGATTCTCATTACATTTTTCTGAGGGTTTGATTTCATATTGAGATCGGTTTTGAGCTGTACTATAATCACTTGATAGCCTTTTCATTCATCCGAGTTTCCAAAGTCAACGACAGATCGGATTTGAAAATGTAAGCGCAAGCACAAATTGTTCTTCGGGAACACAAAAGGATGACGGAGAAAAAAATCTTGCTACCTCCACTGTGGCTAACATGAGACATCGGACCTGTCTTGATAGTCCGGTATAAACCGAATAACATGATATACAACACCTCAATCTCATTCATAGTGTAATTTGTTTTATTTGGAAAAACTACCGCACTGAAGATTTAAATATTGGGGCATCTTGTCATGATAATAGCTGCCTGAAAAGGGGCATATTGGAAAGTATGTCGTTAGGAATGGTGCTCTCTCTCTCGACATATAGCCTATTGCCACTCACCTCAACTGAGCAAATACTCCCAGTTGGTGCCAGTCCTCCATCCGAAATGGAGGTTTCCCGGAAAATAAGCTATCTCAAAAGGTATAAGGCCTCCGGCCCTAATGGGTTTTCTCCTGAAGGGTGTGCCCGAGAATTTATTTCAATATTTGCGATCCCATTATGCTGGAAGCCGAAGCCCAGTCCGAGCGTACGGCACATTTTCACCCCAGTTCACAGCAAAAAGTGGTGTTCAACAGGGTCGCCCTCTCTCTCTCCTTTCCTATTTACCTTTGCTACGATTTGATTATGGCCATAGTCCTATCCTAGTGGCACCAATTTCCTCCCAGATCTGATCTGGAGTGTGCAGACGACATTGCGTTGTTAAGCAAAGATCCAGGTATGTTGCAAGCTTTTCTGGATAGTTTGATTGCTACTGTAGCCATGTTCGGCATGCGCTTTGCACCTTCAAAGTGTAAAATGTTACTACAAGACTGAGTTGGTTCAGCTGCCAGCTTCACCTTAGCTGGAGAAGCAATTGGGGTAGTGAACAAGTTTGGCTATTTGGGCAGCTACATCTCACCCGGTAGACACATCACGAATGAAGTGTCAGCTCGCATACAGAAGGCTCGATTGGTAATTGTAAACTTGAGACATCTGTGGCGCCGTCGCGAGATCCACTGACAATCTTCATTTTCTATTCGACTCTACTTTCAATTTTCCTGTCTTCCTTCCAATTTTCATCCAAATGAGCGACAAAAAGACAGCAACCAAAACCGGCGCACAAAAGTGCACGGTAAATTGTTTTTCTCTCGATACATAATGTTTCGTGGATCCCGTCAATCCTAATAAATGCTGACATGGTAAAACGTGTCATCCAGTTATCTGTGATGGATTAAGGATAGGCCGCAGCAGTTCGACCAGTTCTTATATACAGCGCAGAAACCTGGCCTTTAAGGAGACCAGATTAAGATAGACTGTCGGTGTTTGAACATTACTATCTACGTCGCATCGCATGAGTCTGGTGGGTCAGCCGGACGAGCAATGCTGAGGTTAGGTGCAATGTTTTAGGTAATCGTGATCGTCCACTAGAACAAGTGATCGACCTTCATAGATTACATTGGCCTCCGTAAACCTCAGTATTGTCGGTAGTGGGTGTCTAGGGTTGAGGCTGTTCACCCTTCCCTCTGCTGAGGTAGTCCTACTCAGTGCCTTCTCTTGGCGGAGGTGTTTTATCATCAAAGTGGGAGGACGAAAAACCGATGTCCGGGGTTATAACGGAGTTGGTGCACCACTGGCAGTTCACCTAGGGGAGTTGGCCAAAAAAATCCTGATTAGGAACTAACCATGAGGAGCCGTACGCACCACACCTACACCTTTTCGGTTGTGGCAGTGGTCACCGGCTAAATTGGGGATGGAGGTGTATTGGTCACCTTGGACCTTTGACCCTGTCCGAAGGGCGAATGATCTGATGAACTGTACACCGGATCCCAATGAACTGCGGTTTTCACACCCCACCTCGCTGCCTTGCGGGTCAGGCTTTGGCTAGCCGAAGGCTCCGAGTCTGAATTCCTCATCAACATTCACTTGCCTTGGTCTGGGCAACCTTGCGGTATTCCGCCCACAAGCCAATCATGGAAAGTTTTTCTTTTTACAAAGATTATTGTGCGATGATTTGTCTGGCTTGCAGTCTGGCCACAGACAAGTATGAAATATAATATAAAATGTAATGATAGATTACGTTGGCTGGGGCATGTGTTACGCATCTCATCACATAGACTTCCACAGTGAGTGATTTTTGCCGAGGCATCTAATGAGTGGTTAAAAGCCAAGGGTGGTCAACCTAAGACCTGGCACAAGGGTATGAAATCCCTAACCAGGAGACTGGGTCGCATAGGTCCCGTTACGCTCCCTGGCTGAGGACCTCGGAATGATCTTAACCGGTGGTGGTGTCGTTAACAGTGGCTTTCGTGCATCTTCTCAATTTCTCTACAACCTTAGTCCACTGCATTTCTCCATTTTATGTTCGAGTATACTTTACACTTTCCTGTCTTTCTCCTAATGTGCATCCAAATGGGCAGCCAATAGACAGGAACCAATACCGGTTCAAGAAAGTGCATGGTTAGTGGTTGTACAAACTGAAACCGAAACTAATGGTTAGAAAAATGTAGTGATATAACTGAGGATCGTAAACAGTGACACTTGTTCTCCATTTTCTCTTCGACACTGCTTTCAATTTTCTTATCTTCTTTCTACTTTTTTCATCCAAACGGGTAACCAATAGACAGCCATCCAAAAAGCTGCACGAAAGTGAAGGGCTAATTGTGGTTCGAACTGCAACTGCAATCGAGAAATTGACCAACTATTGCTGAAACAGACTTCTGGAAAAGTAGGAATCTGTAATCCGGACCAGTCAGATTGTAAGCTGGTCGTCGCCTAAACGCCCTCTAGCTGAACCGTTTGTGGTTCGAACTCCGCGTGAACCGATGTGTATGCATCACTACTGAGCTCGATTGGGAGTGTAACTCAACTCTGGTGCTTGCTGTGAGTGAACTGTAATACGTGTCACGTATCTCGCTTGATAGGTTTCCTCGGCGTTTGCGGTATTTACCAAAGCATCAAGGTTAGTTGGTAACAGGCCATGAATAGCCAAGTGGTTAGGTGACCAACTTGTGACCTGTGTGTCCCGGATTCGAACCACTTCATCGCCGCCAGTCTTTCCAGGCAGCCTCTGTGTGGCCGAGGTCTCCCTTCCTGAATGTTGACTGCACATTTGTATATTCAATAAATAAAAAAGGAAGAAGACCTGACATCTAAGTATGAAAACCTGGAAAAATGGTTCCCATTCCTCACCTGTATCATATACCGCGGAAGGGTTAGGATAATTTAATTCATGCGAAGTAATCAAAGGGTTTATCCACATTTATTGATTCCTCAGATGTTTGCAACGAGTTAATCGAGTTGTACTAGACCGAACGCAATATCCTAATCCCCTGAAAATGCGAACCAGTAATTTAGACCTAGTTTAATACTGATAAGTTACATGCCCAGTCAACGATATTCCAAGAACTCGGATATTTTAAATGTTTTCTCCCACTTTTCGTCCATCAAAATTGGCAACACATGACCCCTTGCGGAAGATTGATAACTTTGTTGTAAATAACCCCATAGAAACCAATCTGCGCTCGGTTTTTGTTGAAAATTATCAGGCTCTGGAGCTACAGTTAGACATTTAGACACAGTTAAATTCGTTTATTGCATTATCTTCGAGCTATAATGAAGCGCACATTTCGATCGACGCTTTTAAACCATTCAGTTTAAATTTCCTATGCTCTATATATCAAGGATTCGTGTTCTAAAGCCATTCCTTATCGTTCAGTCAAAAATGTTATAAAATGATAATTGTGTACTAGCAGGCTAATAGGATAACCGAGTTGGTATCACTGGCGGTGAACACGATTCGAATATAGTGCATTTAATTGATTCACTTCATTTAAATGACCTGTAATTTAGCCAAGAGGTAATTATTAAGTTAACATATCGCTGTGACAACGCTCCCCAGAGTAGAAAATATTTTTCAGATGTCCGGTTTAACTTCAACTCATCAATAGACGCAATCGAGATACCAAGCAAGATTTGGAAATGATTTGGAGCGATAAACTGGAAGCCGGGGACCTGTTAGCCTTGGCTGGCACATTAGACGTTAATAGTATCAACAAACAGTTCTATGCGGGCGAGGCAAGGCGTTTCCCCAAAGCCGCCCAGTCCACGGTCGAATCATGGGCGCAGCATTCGCATGACGCAATTCTCCGCGCGGAGCATGAACGCATGGCCTCGGAGGAATTGTTAACTCTGACACAGAACATTCTGAAAGATGCTAGTCAAGATATTACACAACAGAAAGATGGGGTGAATAGTGAATTGCAGAAACGTCTGACTCAATTGGAAGTGGAGTTGCAGATTTATAAGAAGAAACTCAAACAGGTTGGTTCAATCACATTCTCTCAATATCTATGTTCTGTTTTCGAGTATACCTACCGGTTTTTTTGCATGAATTTCTAGTCTGGGGGCATCTACATACGAATTCTTGGAGTGATACCGAGTGTGTAACCACTAAAATCTTTATGTCATAGTCGACAAGAGCCCCGAACAGTGATTGCAAGATTATTGGAACTCATCGATTGTTTACTTTCTTTGACCCTACCGGGGCCCGGACTATGAAATGGCACATTAAGTTCAACTTTTATGGTTTTATTACTCAATGGAATTTAGAGGAACTGAAACGATAAAAAGTTATCTTGTGCTCTTCCCGAACATAATGAACAATAGCTTTCTTCGGTTGGCGGATCGATGCAACCAACTGGAGCGTACCTAATCCAACCTCAGAAGGAACTGAAGGAAGATTTGATATGGGTCAATAATTTTTATTAACATGGAAGTGCATGATTATTGGTTTTACAAACTAAGCTGAAACCAAGGATTCATGCAATCATCTCCCAATCGACGGGACAAGAACGTCCAAATTACTGATCACAAAATGTCTGACTCGGCAACAAAACGAAGCAAGTGTTAAACTGATCAAGTACTTCATCGTTTAGAAGTCAGAACCATAAGTATTTGAAGAGTTGACTTGTATTGTATTTATTCAAGTTTATCACAATATTTCGGTCTTCTGATAATCCTTGTATATATATATATATATATATATATATATATATATATATATATGGTGTGTAATTAATCATTTCAAAAAGTTCTGGATATTTCAAACCTTGTTTTTAGTAAACCTGAGGGCCCTTCAATTTTCCATGGTCTTCATATTTGAGCATCAGATTTGGTTGTTGGCTTTCTGTCTTCATCACTAGTCTCGTGTTATACTTTTTATCCGTTGGCTTACCTGAACAGTGCACTTATTACGCCCAAGTCGATATTCCATCCCTATATCAAATCTTACATCAAACTGGGAGGATACCCACTAAAGCGAACAAGATAAAATGACTTGACTTGGCACACTGTTATCTGGTTATTTGCAGTTTATGATCAGGGGTCGTATTTTAATTTGGAAAAACAAAACCGAATTTATCCTATGCTGGATAAGCTATTTTCAATTCAGAACTGTGATCATCACTACTGATTCGGTATGTATCTGTTTGCGCATCTGTTTGCCCACAGACGTTGGATGAGATCGCCGAGGCGGAGAAGATGATAGAAACACTTCGCTGCGCCATCTCCGATAAGAACAATTACATCAAATTGGTACAAACTCGAATGCATTTGCACAATCAACGACCCGGAGTGGAGAACGCTCGAGACCCACCACAAAAAGTGTAAGAAGCTTTTGTTGCATCGGGTAACATTGTAAATTATTTTGGCATTGAATTTGCTGTGAGTAATCAGGGTATTCGGTGAGTTCACGGTTGTAAATGACAGTATGTAAATATCGTGACCCCAATCACACGAGAGCGATAGCTGATAATAAAGCATTAGTAGCGCTGAATCTTGGTTATGGTTCATTCTTTTGAATAAAAGAAAATTCTACACTAGGGTAAGTGAATCTAATTTAATTGACACTTTATTCCACAAATTTACAGGTGCAATAAACCACTGAGATAAATCAATATGAAAACGGTTATGGGAGCTGACTCTAGAAATCCTCATTTTTTATGATGGTCTGTGGGACTTGATCGTTGTTGTGTCCCTCTTTTAAAGTAGATAGACAAGCACGCAATTAATTAAACAGTACGTTTATTGCAGAGGGCACACCTGTAGCTGGTCTGTATACCAGTGAGCAAGCGGGAACGGGCAACACGTATGAAGGCAGGCAGGCGGGCCAACACTGACTCAAGCGTCGCACACCGTCCACATGCCGGCATTCAAACAGTCAACAAATCAATCGGCGAGTACAATTCGGTGCTAACACATAATTGGCTGGAGCCGATCGATACTGTAGTAGAGTCCGAGGTAGAGTCGGAGGCTTCAGTGCATGCGTGTGTGTTAGCTTACAGAATCAATCACTCAATCGATCAGTCATTCAATCCGGCCACAGATAAATGCAGAAAACGTACCAGCCACTTGTAGGCCGCAACGGTCGCCACTAAAAGAAATGGTTCGACTGAATGTAATTTTTTAAAGCGTCCATTGGGGTAATGTTACTCACCCGCTATCCCATGGGGATAGTGTTTCTACCCAATTGAGAAAGATGAACCTAGTCNTAGTCGGTTAATGAGCCACGTACAGTTAAATGAGATCACGAAGATGAAAAAAGTCTATTAACTGAATGAATAATGTCACCATCACAACTTGTTATTTGATGTTCCGAGCACAGTCAGGTCCCCAAAAGTTTGAAACAAAGTACCTACGGAAATCAGTAATCTTAGTTTGGGAAAAAATCAGTTAGAGAATGTGCATTGTAACGTTTCAATTCAGACAAGGACTCGTCAAACGTAAACGAAATGAATGAGATAGCGGGATGACTGCCTTTTCGTGCGCCAGTATTTTGTTTGTAAGTCCACCAATCGTAATTGCGTGTGCGACTTAATGTTTGTCTATCTCAATGAATCGGCTGATCAGATTGACCGAATGTATAGCTTCGGGAATTCATCATTCCTCCTTCTTAGATCGCGCCACAACCTTTGCGTTATCGATCGCGACCTCGTGATCTGTCCGTAGGCCGTGTTTCCAGATTTGAGACCTCGGGTCATAGCGTCGAAGGGCAAGCTTGTGTTCGTGTAGGCGAGTGTGTAGTTGTTTGCCTGTCTCGCCTATTGTTGATTACAGCCCAG